ATATTTTGCTCTTTTTAGCTTTTATGTGGCTCATATTTAGCATTTCCTTTTTAAGTTTAAAACATTTTTTTTTTTTAGCATCAGCTCCTCTTTTGGTACTTTTAGCTTCTAACTTGGTAATTTTGGCAACAACCTGGCTGCTTTAGTTTCAGCTGTTGTTTTGCTCCTTTGTCATCTAGCTACTGTTCTGCTGCTTTTAGTTTTTAGCTTGCGTTCATCTTGTTTTAGCTTTGACAGCAAATCTTAACACTCAACATTTAGAATAAAGTTAAATACTGTGGATCACACTCCATTTTTCTCATAATTTTCGTTCAGTTTACGTTTTTCCCAGCAGTCTTTGAACGCTTCATAGAAGTTCATTTTCAAAGGAAGCCTCGCTACGCGCGAAAACTACGGCGCGAATTTCTTTACTAAATACTTTTGACACAGACTACCTAWAATTAAAAGGAGGCTAATAAGTCTAATACACGATGTTTTATTACCCAGAAGTACTCCAACGTAGCACTGGATGTTTTTCAACAATTTGGTGAGTTTAACTTTGCTAACTTTGAAGTAAGCTAACAAGGGCTAACGTAGAGCTAACTAGCACAGAATGCTAGGTTGTAGCAAAAGGCGCTAAACTAAATAATCATCACATCTAAATTGTTTCTTTGTGTTTTGCAATTTAGGTTCGCAGCTACCAGAGGTTACCGGGTGACTCGCAGGGATTTTCTCAAAGTTAATGTAGACTTAACCTGGTAATATATTTATTTATTTATTTGTGCTATTTTGTTGCTGAGCTAACCTGCTCTGTTTTATAGCACATGATGATGTGAAATAAAAGGTTGGGTTTTATTTGCAATAAAATATGTTTAACTCTAAAGCTAAAGGGAAACAATTCTCAAATCTTAATTACAAATGTATTTATTTATTTATGTAGCGGATGACATTGTTCAGAAGATATTGTCAATATTTAACATTTTTAGCCTTTGAAGTTGTTGAAAACATTTGATGCAATGGACGTAAGTAAGTAAGTAAGTAAATAAATAAATAAATAAATAACATTTTTATTGGACTTTGAGAGGTTACTGTTTTGGGCCTTAAGGTAAAATAAAGTGTGCACAGTCATTTTAAAGGTGCCTAAAGGTTTAATTTTGTTTTGTGAAATGTCCACAGCAGAGACATTTTGGATTATGTGATGGCACAAGTTCCGGCGCCGCTGCCCAACCAGCCCAATCCTCGCTTCTCCCTCTACCTGTCGTCGCAGCTGCAGTATGGAGTGGTGGTGGTCTACCACAAACAGTGTGGCTATCTGCTGGGTGAGAAAAGAAAATAAATAATAACAYAAAGCAAAATGTCGGCGTCTCTYGTTTGCATGGTCTACGTGCAAACAAACATTAACATCTGAGACATGAAAACACAGTCTAATGTTCCAGCTTGTAGCAGACGGAGCATTGTGGCTGTTGTGGTGTTAAACACAAATGCGTTGCTGACTCACTCTGGCTCACTCGGCGTGATCGGCAGGCCAGCATGGAGCCGATGAACGAACACGATCAAACGCAGACTTGATTCATCTGGGCTTTAATTACACCCTGACACTGACGCCGCATCCAAATGATGTGCAATCACACTGCTCTCAGGGGTTGATGAAAACAGAGAAACACTGCGGGACGATGAGCAGCGAGTGAATGATAAGACCACAGCCAGAGTCTCTTCTAATTACATTTTCCAACATGTTAAACAGTGTTTTATAGATTCTCCTCCTACGGGAACTTTTAACTCCTTTTTCTGTTCTTCAGAGGAGACTCAACACATCGTCAACCGCCTGCTGCGCACCAAAACTGGCCTGCAGATCGACATGGCTGAAGCTGACAGGTCTGTTTGTTAAAAAAAATAAATAAATAAACAAATAAAACATGATATTTGATCTGGTCTGAGTCTAAAAGYTTTCTCAGGAATATTTATTAGAGGTTATTTGAGGACCACAGTTTTCTCCCTGAATCTGTTCGTAGAAATTAAAATAAACGTACTTTTTTAAAAATATGCAGGGATGARCTCTGATGATAATAAAATTGTTGCSTCCCTTCTTGTTTCCTGTCAGGATGACCTTTGACCTCGCCGATGGCCTGAACCTGATGGAGGAAGCAGAGGGAGCTCATGACCCTTTCTTTGGTCTCATGAAGTCCCCGCAGCTTCCCAGCCCCAATAAAATGCAACAGGTACATAAAGTACACACTGTTACTGTAAATACTGTGTATCATGCAGTATTTATAAGCTTTATAACAAAACACGACTCATCCATCCTGTCAGATATTTGCTAATTATTGTAGCGATAATTAAAATTTCTCCTTTAAAACCAACATCTATTTTATAGTAACTGACTTTATTTATAAAGCTGTCATCAGTAATGCTTCCATTTCAGTCACATATTACTTTAAATGAAACRACATTCCTCCTGTTCGACATAAACCATCAAATGTTTTGATCTAATAGTTTTATGGAGCTCAGGTTTGGGTTTTTGTTTGTGAGTTTGAACCAATCAGAGCAGAAACAAACTGCTGCTCACTCTGGTCTGTAAACAGAGCAGACGTGGTCGACCTTTGTCCTTCCTAAAGTTACGTAATCCTGTGTACTTATAGAAAAAACACACTTCGTTAAAAATGCTTCGACACAAAGGACAAGTCACCTGAGGTGTTGTGGAGTTAAAGGGATAGTYCCGACCTTTTCAGGGTTTCTGTAGAAACATTTTAGTTTTAGGTCTTAAAATATAATTAATTATTAATTTAGTATGTTTGTTCATTCATTGCATTTCCCTTCAACCTTTTTCTTTATTTTAACAAACTGATGGACTGCTTTGTTTATTTATTTTTTTACAAATTGGATCAAACTTGAATGAAAGGCAAATAACTTGTTTTTTGTAATTCAAGTAGATCTTAAATTTCAGTGTCTCCAGTCTAAAGAAGTCGTACCATTTTACAAAGCTTCACACCGTCGTCAGTATGAAATTACACAATGATTTACAAAGAAATTAACTGTTGGTTCAGAGCAAACGTTACTGCAGCAGCAGCTTGCTGTGGCACAAACATAAACCAGGTGTGACATCGTCTGTACGCAGGTGGAGTGTATCAGCATGGGTTCGGAGGTGTTGCCCTTCGTCGAGTTGAGTCTCAAAGAAGACGGTGAGTTCTTTTTTTAATTATGACGTCATTAATAACAGAGAAATGTCTGCTTGTGAGCRTTTACAGCATAAAGRCTGTGTCCAGATTCAGGCGCTGCGTCCTTCAGAGGTCGACTTTGAAGGCAGATTATGTCCTTTAAAGGCAGATTATGTCCTTTAAAGGCAGATTATGTCCTTTGAAGGCAGATTACATCCTTTGAAGGCAGATTACATCCTTGGAAGGCTGAATTTGAAGGCAGATTATATCCTTTGAAGGCAGATTACATCCTTTGAAGGCTGAATTTGAAGGTAGATTACGTCCTTTGAAGGCTGAATTTGAAGGTAGATTATATCCTTTGAAGGCTGAATTTGAAGGCAGATTACGTCCTTTGAAGGCTGAATTTGAAGGCAGATTATATCCTTTGAAGGTTGAATTTGAAGGCAGATTACATCCGTTGAAGGACGCAGCCTCTGTGTTGGACACAGTCATGTCTTGATATTGTAGAGCCAGAGGTAGATGTGGGAAAAAGTCAATCTGTGGATGAGAGCAGCAGGAG